AACAGAAACTCCTGGAGCTGCTCCTTTGGGCTCAGGTCCTCAGGCCTTTCGCACAGGATCTCGTACTGCTCCGAGCTGATGATGTACTTCGCTCGCCACTCTTCGGCGGTCAGGAGCTCTGGCTCCGCGTCGAAGCCGAGGGGCACCTCCGGGGGCGGGCTCCCGACGCCGTCCTGGAAAGGAAATGGTGGGACGTCCGATCATTCCACGGAAGCAAACACAGTCCGGTGGCGGGACCGTGAGCCCTAAATCTCGACTTCTCAAAAGACGTTATGCTCTGCAAGTTCTAAGGACCTCACAAACAGCCGCCAACCCAGGCTCAGAGCAAATCCGGAACCAGCCTATGCACCGCACCAAAACCAGCCTGACCGCGCCTCAAAGACCAACTTGATCGCGGCTCCAAAAGTAGTCCCAAATCCAGGCCCACAGCAGACTCGAACCAGCCCAAACGCGCTTTCAAAATCAGCCTGACTGCGCCCCCAAGTTTGCTTGTTAGCGGCCCCGAAACCTGCCCCGAAACCAGACCCACAGCAAACCCGGAACCAGCCTCACCGCGGCCACAAATCAGCCTGAAGCCCCACCCCAAAACAGCTTGACCGTGCCCCGAACCCAAGCCCACACCCGACCAAAACCAATGCCCACAGCAGACGCCAAACCAGCCTAACCTTGCCCCGAGATCACGCTGAACGCGGCCAAAAAGCAGTCCATTAGCTTGACACTACTCAAGCCTACTTGATCATTGCAACTGTAAGGGCCACCTGAGGGGCTTGACAATCTGCACCACCTAATAGACTTGAATGTAAAGAACGACACGTGCAAATTGTCGACCGAGCCATGCCGGGCGCTTTTCAGTTTTCGACCCACTACTCGGCACCCTCACCGTTGGCTCGACGCGCTCGACCGTCACCTCGTAGCCCTGCTTTTCGAGGTCGGCCTTCAGCTTCGGCACGTACTCAAGATAGCTTTCCACCTTGGCGAGGATGTTGTTTGCGTACAAGACGCAGCTCGCCGAGGAGCGGTCGCAGATGCCCTGCGAACCCCTCAGGAACTGGAAGCCGGCTGCGTCGCCGAGCATCTTGACGATCTGCTTGTCGTCCCGCTCAATGGCTTGAAATACCGCCTCTGTAGAGCGCGGCAGGTCCACTGCAGTGCTCACCGCCTGCTTGTAGTAGATGGTGGAGTTAGTGACCGTTCGGAAGCGAGCACGCTGCTGGAGCATCGTCTCAACGGCAGGGCCGTTGAGGTTGTTAAGGGCGAAGGCGACCGTCTCCTCAGCGTACGGCTTCTCTTCTGAGACACCTGGGCCAAGCTTTGGAGAGAACGCCACACAGTCCGCTTCCAAGTAGGTGTCTGGGTCGGCCATCGCCTTCTGGAAGAACTCCTCGTCGGCTTTCGACCTCTTGTCGGCGTGCAGGAAGATGCCGCGTCGATCGGACTCGGAGGGCGGGTTCTCGATGTTGAAATCGTGTTCGATGTGTTTCACGAAGCGCTTGGAGGTCGACGGGCACTGCGCAACAAGAATCAAGAGCACGGCTATTAGCTCTTAGACCACAAGGACCTATGGCAAGAGCAGATGATGCGACCTGCTGCGACCTGCTGCGACCGTTCTGATTGAGACCCGTTCGCAGAAGACAAACCTTGTAATGTTTTAGCACGACACGGGACAGGCAGTACCCACTTAGTACCCATTTGGCTTCCATCAGCAGTGGAATTTGCAAGGGCCTGACAACCAAACAGGGAAGATGCTTCGAATGTCTCGCCTTAAACCTTGGACATAGACGCTCTCTCACAGTGCTTGAGAAGATCACATGGATGTTCAAATCGAGCGCGCTGGGCACAAGGCTTGTTAGTGCAGGAGGGTCTGAAGGAAGAACTCACGACGACTTTCGTGCCTCGAGCGACACGGTCCAGCACATCCCGTACTGCGGCGTCGATGCAGTCGAGCAGCCCGCTCCCAAGCGGAAAGATCCGGATGGTCGCATGCCTCTCGGCCGGGTACAGGCCCGTGTTCCGGATGGTGTGGAGAACCGCATCCGGCCGCACCATGAAGAGGTACTCCATCACCCGCGCGCAGTCGATGTTGACGTCCATGCCGATGACGACCTTCGACCCCCCCACAGCCGCCTCCAGGCAGGACAGCACCCGGCCCCGTTGGCT